TATTCTCATCAAAACATCACTTATTTATCAAGGTGCTGGTTTAAACTTTTTATTGGGGACTGACTTTTTGGTGGCCCAAAAGAATCACTTATCTCAACAGTGGGTAAGTCAGGCCTATTAATAAGAAGGCAAGAAAAAGAAAATGGGGACAAGAAATGGGCAACAGATTAAAGACTTATACACTCTGGGAATATTTTTTAAAAGGACCAACTGAACCCATTCTCACTAATTTCAAAGCAAACTAAGGATCAGTAGCACGAGTCCAGGAGAATTAATGACGACAGAATGAAAATACCATGAAACTAGCTACCGTTGCCTTACAGCATTTAAGAATACAGAGTTTGTTATGATTTACGCTAAAATAGTACTTGTACTGAACATCAACACCCCCCACCCCCCAAATTTAGAATGAATACAAACTGGGCTCCTCCATAGTAAAAAAATTAAAATAAATCTACTTTTCTTCCAAGACAACTCTTGAAAGCAAAAGGGTATTTTCATTACAAATATCTCCTTCTGTCTGACGACCCATCCATAATAGCTGAGAGTTAAGAGATTCCAGGCGATTTTGACATTTAATGAAATTTTATCAGCAGATTATAATCCAAAATAAAATTTCTGAACACCCTGTCATTTACATCATAATCCAACACCAATAGCAACAAAACAGGTGGTGTGGAAAATAAGGCTCTAGAGATTATCCGTATCATCCCTGTGGATCTTCACAACTGTGTAAAAGTCACTAGGCCTTTGGTGCTTTAATATCATGAACAGTTATGAGATGTGTTTAAATAGCAAACTTGCTGTCCTTAAACCTACTGTGTTGAAAAGAAAAATAAAAAAAATTTTTGGCTCATTGACTTCTTTAAATAATTTTAAAAAGTTGTTCTTTTCTAAACAATATTCCTAAAAATTATACAGCTCGAATCAGATTTCATCTTCGCCACGAACGAGACTCATATTCATCTTCATCCTCATCATCATCATCATGCAAAAACAAATCTGAGGTTTCCGTTTCCTGAGGAAAGAGAGAGTAAAATCTGCTTAGTGGTATAAGAAAGTTAAGTAAAATACTTAAAAAAAATTTTTTTTCAATGTTTTATTTATTTTTAAGACAGAGAGACAGAGCACGAGTGAGGAGGGGCAGAAAGCGAGGGAGACAAAGAATCTGAAGCAGGCCCCAGGCTCTGAGCTGTCAGCACAGAGCCCAACACGGGGCTTGAACTCAGAAGCCATGAGATCAGGACTTGAGCCAAAGTTGGACCCTTAACCAACTGAGCCACCCAGGCGCCCCTAAGCAAAATCCTTTTTAAGCCAAAGGACACAAAGACTAGTATACAAAACCTAGGACAGATTTACAAGTGACACACTCAGAGAGTAGCTAGCAGGGCAAAAACACCCACAACAGTCTCTCAATGTATACATATTTTCCTCCCCTGCTAATTTTGCCAGTTTTAACAGACTTCCATTCTAATATCATCAGGAAAATACAATGTGACTGCTGAGTAGGAGGAGTAAAAGAAAAAATATCTATAAAATGTTTCTGATAAAATTAATCTATTCATAAAAATAAATAATTAAGTTTTATTTTATGCCACTAACTTAAAATGAAAATATATGACCAAACTCCTAAACCTTTCTTTTAGTATCAAATAATCTGTGATGGAGAGTATACTAACTTCCCCATGACACCAACATTCCCAACCTTATACAAAAATCTAAAATCTTACATAAAATACAGATTTCTACAAACATTCCCAAAATATCGATTTTTCTTTTCTTTTTTTTTTTAACATGGGAAATGTTTCTGCTTTTGTTTTATAAAATTACCCACATGATCACAAAACTGTTGATCAATCATGAATGCTAACATCTATAAAACCAAAATTATGATGAATCAGGAATAACTTGCAATGTTGGCTAAAGGTCCCTTTTAATAAAAAAATTAGAAATAGGAGCTAAAGAGTGAAATTATTTTTCATATTTTAAGAGTTTCCTTGGTTTAAATCCTTGGTTTCCTGTTTCTTCCCTTTTACGTCCCACTTCCGTAACTCTCATTTTAACCAACTGTACACAGAAGGAAAATAAGAAACTTTAATAACTATGGAACGTGAATAAATGAAAAGCTACAACAACCAGCTAAAATGTATTTTGTCCATGTAATCCATGTCCTCACTTACCAGAATAAAAATTTCTAGAGCCCAAAGAAAGCCAAAATAAATGCAAAGAAAAAAAAAGTGTCTCCTCTACCAGAAAATACCCCACAAAGAGCTTTTTTTTATGTGTCTGCATTTGTTCTCATTCTTTAATAAACTTCTAGTCTTTGATTACTGTGTGCATGAAAGAATCGTATTTATTTTAAAATTTATTTACTTTAATGTCAAGAAAAATACTACTTGAGAAACAATCTAATTCAGTGCTTATTTTCAATCGTTAAATTTACCTCCTCCTTGACATCTTCTTCCTCAGTCTCAGTGGATACAGAAGGCACCTTGGCCTTGTGCCATGATATTTGTAGCCGACGGTCTTTGAATTTTGACCCTTGGTTTGCAGTCTAAAATAAATTTCAGAAAAACAGAAAAGTTTATATTCAAATTGTATGCTATTTAAAAGTGTAATGACTTGGGGGTGGGGATGTTAAAATGGATCTAAACACAATCTCTAGTAAGAGCTAGAAAAAGTGAAGTCCCTTTTAATTAAAGAACCATATATACTGTTTTGCCCAGATAGTCCCATGACTTGCATCTATGTCATGTTAACTTTAGGATTTGTTTTGGTTTAGATGATAAATTAATTATATAGTCACCCTACTTACAAAAGTAATGATGAAAACAACAAATGCTATCTTAATACAATTACTGGCCTTCAGGGACACCTGCGATGGCTCAGTCAGTTAAGCATCCAACTCTTGATTTTGGCTCCAGTCATGATCTCATAGTTCATGAGATCGAGCCCTGTTCAGGACTCTGTGCTGACTCGGCAGAGTCTACCTGCGATTCTCTCTCCCCCTCTCTTGCTCCCCCACCCTCAAAATAAATAAAGATTTAAAAAAACAGGGGCGCCTGGGTGGTGCAGTCGGTTAAGCATCCGACTTCAGCCAGGTCACGATCTCGCGGTCCGTGAGTTCGAGCCCCGCGTCGGGCTCTGGGCTGATGGCTCGGAGCCTGGAGCCTGTTTCCGATTCTGTGTCTCCCTCTCTCTCTGCCCCTCACCCGTTCATGCTCTGTCTCTCTCTGTCCCAAAAATAAATAAATGTTGAAAAAAAAATTAAAAAAAAAAAAAGATTTAAAAAAACAATTATTAACCTTTAGCTTTGATAATCTACATACTTAGACTGAAAACTTAAGAGTGATTTTTTAATGCCTAATGATCTCACAGCATCTCTCACAGCCCCAGTGATAAAGCTATTCCCACTTCATCTTCTGAAATGCCAAACAACAATGACAAGTACCCACCCATTCTATATATTCAATAAATGTTAATCAAACACCTCCTGTCCTAACTCAAAATAAAACTGTTCAGTTTCAAATGTATTTCTTGGTACTACCATCCAATTTCTTCCTCCCCAACAAATTTTATTAAGAGAAAACAAAAATTTTAAAGACAAAACAACAGAGACAAAAGAATATAGACCCAAAGTTTCATTAAAGTGAAATTCAGTCTTTCCTATTAATGGTGCCAGATTGTAGAACATCCCCAATTCTGGGTTCAATCCTGAAAAATGTGGGGCGCCTGGGTGGCGCAGTCGGTTAAGCGTCCGACTTCAGCCAGGTCACGATCTCGCGGTCCGTGGGTTCGAGCCCCGCGTCAGGCTCTGGGCTGATGGCTCAGAGCCTGGAGCCTGTTTCCGATTCTGTGTCTCCCTCTCTCTCTGCCCCTCCCCCGTTCATGCTGTATCTCTCTCTGTCCCAAAAATAAATAAATGTTGAAAAAAAAATTTAAAAAAAAAAAAAAAAAAAGAAAAATGTAACAGAAGGCATTCTTTTAAATATGGGGCTTCACTCTAGTTTTTCTAAGAAAACTGTTGATAAATATCAGTAAGCATTTGCCAAATGTTTCTATAGAACACTCAGATGACTGCATGTTAAGACTGTACCAGATCCAGAACCAGTATGACCAGAAATCAGCATGTGATCTAAGGAAAAATTCTTATTATCCTTGTGGAGGTTGAATGTTTATAACGTGATACCAAACATTTTAACTCATAGGACATATTACACTATGTATCAAAGTGGCCCCATCTTGTAAAACTCAGGTAGTTGCTAATAGAACAGATCTCATCACAAGGAAAAAAAGAATTCTAACTATGTGAGGTGATGGGGGTTAACTAAATTTATTTTAGTAATCATTTCACTATATGTATATGTATTCAACCATTATGTTGTATATCTTAAACTAATAGGATGCTGTATGTCAAGTAGATCTCAATAAACCTGGGGGAAAAATCTGGTAATGTGTGTAGGAGACCTCCTGTGCCCTTACTCTTTTAACATACACAGCCCAATTAAAGAGTGCCTTTTCCAGTATTTTGTTCACCTCTGTATTACCTGAATTCTTCTTTCTAGAATTACTGAGATGTAACTGACAAACTGTTAAGACATTTATAAGTGTAAAACATGATGATCTAATATACATATGCAATGTGAAAAGATTCTATCAAGTTCATTAACCCATTCAACGCCTCACATATTTACCCGTTTCTTGGGGTAGAAATATTTAAGTTCTACTCTCTTGGCAAATTTCAATTATACAATACAGTGCTATCAACTATAGTCACGATGTAACACATTAGATCCTTAGGCTTTATTTGTTATTCGAACTTGTAAAAAAAGATCTGTTACTTTTATAATCACAGAAGGCAATATAGATTTTTTTTAGTCTATATTTACTGGGTCGCCCTCCAAAGAGGACAGCAGTTCTGTCCTCCAAAGGGAATTTTAGGCCATTAAATGTAGTGCATATAAAATACTGAAAGAAAATGAGAAATGTAATTTGTATGCAGTCAGGAACTAATAATATGTAATTCTCACAGTCTAACCTACAACAATAAGATTAGTGATTAGAATAAAGATGTATTTTAATAATACCAAGTCAAGAATTCCCACACACTACTGGTGTGTATCTAAACTAGTAAAACTGATGTAGTCTGCTCAACAATTCCATGTATATCAAACATATATGTGTATACACATATACTGAAAGATCTATGAGAATACTATCAATGGTGTTCATAAAAATCATGTGAAAATAACCCAAATACCTATCAACAAGAGAACAGAAAAATAAACTGTGGTATATTTATACAACTGAAAATAATATAGCAATAAAAATGGTGAATTACTGTTACATGTAACAACATGAATGAATCTTACAAACATAACGTTAAGGGAAAAAACAGACACATGAGAATATAGACTGTGTGGTTCCATTTATATAAATTTTTTAAATAAGCAGACTAATACTGTAATATTAAGGAATGCACATTTAGGTGATAAAACTACAGCTGATTCTCATTATTTGCACTAGTTGTATGAAGTTCACTGCAAGTACTAAATTAGCAAATACTGAACCACTGCTCCTAGGGCAAACAGAGTAAGGCCAGGTTCCTATGAGCTTCTGGTCAAAACATTTTCTTCAACTAATCAATACATAACCTTGTTTTATGCTTTAAAGACTCTTTATTTAAAATATACTGTTGGGGCGCCTGGGTGGCTCAGTCGGTTAAGCGTCCGACTTCGTGAGTTCAAGCCCCGTGTCGGGCTCTGTGCTGACAGCTCAGAGCCTGGAGCCTGCTTCACATTCTGTGTCTCCCTCTCTCTCTGCCCCTTCCCTGCTCATGCTGTGTCTCTCTGTCTCAAAAATAAATAAACATTAAAAAATTTAAACATAAAATATACTGTTGGGGTGCCTGGGTGGCTCAGTCAATTAAGCGTCCGACTTCGGCTCAGGTCATGATCTTGCAGGCCTTGAGTTCGAGCCCCATGTAGGGCTCTGTTAACAGCTCAGAGCCTGGAGTCTGTTTTGGATTCTGTGTCTCCCTCTCGCTCTGCCCCTCCCCTGCTCACATTCTGTCTCTGTCTCTCAAAATAATAAAAAAACGTTAAAAAATATATATTGTTGAAATCACGGACACTGGACTCATGGCCAAAAGCACTCATGCCTGAACAAAGCTTACCTAACACATGTGTCTTCACCATAAGGTATATCACAGCCTCCCTGAACTTTCGACATAGCACTTGAGAACTATACTTGGCGGGGGGGGGGATGGGGGGGCATTTCAAATAGGAAAATCAACAATGAAAACCACAAAAATGAGAAAAACGTGGTACTAAATCAACTGCAAAAAGGACACTTGTTTACAGTTTGAGATCTGAAACACTAAGACAGAGTGTCACCTTGTTTGAACTTAGCTGGGAATGTGTGCATCAGGTAACTCTGCCAATGTCTGCAAATGACCACAAGAGCACCCTGAGTACTGATTTTTGATCTTACAAATAATTTTACTAGGCAGGTTAATGCGCAAGTCCAAAATCCATGAATAATAAGGATTAACTATAGAACAAAAGCAGGGAGGTGATTATCAGAAAGTGAGGGTATGGGGTCACTTTTCTGAGGAGGAGAGAAAACAGTAACTGGACGGGGGCAAGGAGGAGGCTGGGAATATACTTTTTCCTTACCTGAGGAGTAGGTATACGGAAGTTTACCTTCTGATAAATCACTGAACTATATATATACGTTTCTAGTTGGTATAGTTTGTTTCAGAGTATTTTAAATTGAATATTATCCTTATAATTAAAAAAAATATATGAAACAGCTAAGATATTTATGTTTAAAAAGCAAGGTATGGAATGCAGCTCTATATTTATACTCTGGTAAATTTTTTCAAGTGAGAGACTGTGTATGTATTCTTATATACAGAATTTTTTTCTATAAAGATATCTAAGAATAGTGACTACCTTTTAAGAGTAGGCAGAGATGAAGGAAAAGTGAAGATTTTTTACTTTTTATTAACCATATTTTTAACCATTTGTGTGTATTCTTTTTTTATTAAAGAATACTTTAAATTTTTTTTTTTTTTTTCAACGTTTATTTATTTTTGGGACAGAGAGAGACAGAGCATGAACGGGGGAGGGGCAGAGAGAGAGGGAGACACAGAATCGGAAACAGGCTCCAGGCTCTGAGCCATCAGCCCAGAGCCCGACGCGGGGCTCGAACCCACGGACCGTGAGATCGTGACCTGGCTGAAGTCGGACGCTTAACCGACTGCGCCACCCAGGCGCCCCGAGAATACTTTAATAACTTTAAGACTGGCCTCTAAAATGTGACATATCTATTGAAATACGTAATTTTTCAATATGCACATATATTTTACCTAACACATATATCCATAATATAGCTTGAAACAATGAAATACTAGGGAAAAGTTAGATGTCCATCACTACAGGATTCTTTAAAGTTTACTTATTAATTTGGAGAGAGACGGAGAAAAAGAATCCCAAGCAGGCTCCACACCCAGTGCGAAGCCCAACTCAGGCTTATCTCATGACAGTGAGA